CCGCGAACGCAGCCCCTTCGAAATCAGATGATATCTAGCAACTTCTCCGGCGTACCCCCCGCTCAAGCACTTTACCTCCGACTGCCACCGCCCAGGCCTGGACCCTCCCCGGCATCCCCGCATCCCATGCCCGCGACCCAATTCAGAACTACCTACCTACATCCCGCACCTGACAGCCACGCGCCACGCCACGACCAGCGTCGATCATACCACGTGTCAGCAAACGAAGTACCTGCGCAAGCACAACGCCTGAGGCGCAGTATTCGACCTGCTGAGACTCAAGACCACAGCCCTCCGGTTATGCGAACGACGTACCAGTCCACGAGACTCGTCACCGCACGAAGAAGGAAACCACCTCACACAATCCCTCTGGACCAAAAGATCAGTTGGTGCTGCCCAGCAGATACGCTGCCTACAGAAGCTGCAAAGCGACTCGCTAAGCGACCGTTACTAAGGCCACAACGCAATACGGAATACATGCGCGGCACCGCCCCCCTCGTATCAGAGCATCGCCCGAGCGGACCTGACTCAATTCCGAAAGCAGGGCGAACTAACTCGCTCTCCTGCTCTACTCCGCTCTGCGGATAACAAGCTCCCCCCCCCCTCCCCCCACCCGACAGCTAGGCGCCCCCAGCGCTCAGGACACTTTATCCAGGTATAGCAAGCCTTGTGCCCAAAGAGCCCACTCACAACGGCCGCGATGCCTCTCCTGCAGGGAAACCCAGCACTCCCCGACCAGTCGGTCCAACTGATAAGCACCTCTGCCAATAGAGGGGACCATTACAGCTTACCTTCCTCACCAGGCCCCGACCTAGCCAGCGCACTGCAACCGTGCCACCAGCCAATTCCCTCTCCCGCTCCAAGCAACCCGGCTACTCTTCAGCTCCCCCACAGACTCATTGAATAGACCCGGCCTACCAAGGACCACTCTCAGCTTCCCAGCGACTACTCAGTGATTCGAACCAGTACCGCTAGGCGCGCTAGGGAGAACACATCGATCAGTTGCCTGACCGAAACGTAGCTGCGTCGGTTCCCAACGCGGCGCACCTCCGCCCCCCCCTCCGACACGACCCATCCACCCCCAGTTACCGAATATCGTAGGCATGTCGACCACGCGCTCCTTCGGCGACGCAGTCACTTGGGTTGTTCGCCGTCTCTATGGCATCCCCACCGTCCCCACCTTCTCCTAAACCAACTCCGTCTCAATCACACCCATGAAGGTAGACATGGCCCAGAACACCACTACATGCTGTCGCCGGCACACCGACGACGCGAGATACCCACTATTCTCCGCTCCCTACTCCTCAAACCCAGAATATATAGAGGCGCGACCAGTGCATCGTGCCTCCCCCCACAGTGCTCCCACCCTCCTCACCCGCCACTCGCCTCACGCTTCAATGTATCACTCCCCCTATGCCCTAAGGACTACTCCCAAGTCTAGATCTCCCGCACTCACCATGACCAGCCTGTCCTCCTACGCAAAGCGCGCCCACTAACCCGCCCAGTTCCCACCACTTAGGCCTCGCACCGACGTAACTCTCGTCACCCCACCCTGTCCCCACTCATCTCCGCCCCCCATGCATCAGTTCGCCGCTCTTAATGCCCCGCTACCCGCTCCACTACCCTGACGCCATGCCTTCATATTCGTCCCCAGCACAGCGAGTGTTCTATCGTTGACCCCATCCCTCTTGCACCTGCGTCACAGCAATCCAGTCACGAGTAGATAAGTCGCGCGCCGACCCTCCGCTACCTGCAACGCCATCCTTCCATCTGCGACCTTCGTAGATACAGCGCTCATCTGACGCATGCTCGGCCCTAGCATATCCTGCGGTCGCGCAGCGCCTCCAGAGTATCCGATAATCTGATTCACCCCTCGGCAGCGCCTTTCTCCCCCACGTATCACTCCTGTTATAAGGAATCATGTACTGAACCCCACTCCGCGGACAGCCTGTGAAGCAGCCGTGTACGCACCGCCGCACGCGCTTTGACTCGACTGCGTACACGAGTAAAAATTCTACGTTCTCGGGGTACACATGGATCCAGCACTCCCAGCCGTTTCCTCCTTCACCTCCTAACCATCCTAGGACATTAGTACATGTGCCCCAGTCAAACACACTCCAGTGCGAGGTCAACTTCTCTCGCTTAAACACTATCCCTACTACTCGCTCGCCACGAACCATCCCGCCGCCCCTCGATATACGCGCCCGTACACCGTACTCCCGCCCACACAAAGACATCGTCACCTTTCTAGATCCACAACGCCGCCCCATCCTTCGTCTCACCCGCGCTCGCCCCAGCTTCGATCGCCTCCGCTCCTTCGTATACCTCATCTCCCGACATGCATATGCCCCGAAGTAGAATCTCTCGGATTGCACTCTCGTACAACATGCAAACATAACCAAACCTCACACCATTCCCCCTCAGCAGCCCTCTAGAACAGCACGATACGATAGACCGAACATCGATAGGCCCGCTATTCCCCCCAATACCGTGCAGCCACCACACCCTCCGCTTCACACTGCCCATGCGATCCCTACACCTATTCGCCCACCCCACACAACGCAGCTCCGCACTAACGCGCGCTCTGTAGGGACTCTCACCTAGTACCTGAGCTGGATGCACTCACCCTCTACCTATCAGCTGATGGCAGCGTGGATCAGGCGGTGAAAGCCCGAATCAACGCAGCCTGGATGAAATGGAGGGAGTCCACTGGAATCCTGTGCGACCGGCGGTGCTCGAGAACACTCAAGGGCAAGGTGTACCGGGCGGTGGTAAAGGCCTACAATGCTCTATCTAGGTTATCATGTGCAGTGCTGGCCTCTGCAAGAACCATGAAAGGCAGCTCCATTCAGCTGAAATGAGGATGCTGAGATGGGCCTGCGGTTGGACACGACTCGACAGAGTCAGAAACGAGGACGTCAGGGCGGTCACACAGACGGCTCCGATCCAGCTGAAGGCACGAGAGCAGCGACTGCGATGGTATGGGCACGTACTGAGGAGGCCTGAAGACCACCCAATAAGGAAGGCATTGGAATTCGAAGTAGAGGGCAAGCGACCACGAGGAGCCCCAAAGAAAAGATGGAGGGACGTCATCAAGAAGGACCTCACTGAAGTGAAAGCCACGGCAGAAGATGCAGTGGATCGGAACAAGTGGCGACGTCTAACAAGAACTCTGCGACGGCGCGGGACTAACGCTAGGGAGAAGAAGAAGAAGAAGATTCACGGAAGTGAGATTCGTTCAGCCATGGCGCCATCTGGCGCCATTAGGAGCCAATTTGGCGCCACCCCAGCCACGAGTTTTAATTGGCCAACCCAGCTTTCTACCCTCAGAGGACGGTAAATTGCTACCAGAGATTCGTCTGAGAGGACACTGACTTGCACATTGGTCCGGCGAGTCATTGTTAAGGGGCACGAGGCACTCAATGAGCCTCTGCGACTCTGCATAAAAGTAGAATGCGTCCCGCATCCCAAAAACGGATGCTCAGCGGCGAATCCGGTGCAGTACGGTTACCCTTATCCGTTGAGTGTGTTGTTCTAGAATCGTCCATGTTACTCGTAAGCGCATTAGGCCGCGTTCATAAACAGCGCCTCCGCGGCCTCCGTGGCTTCCGCGCAATTTCCAAATCGATACGTATACTCTGCTCATTCCGCGGAGGCCACGGAGGGCGCGGAGGGGCTGTGTATGAACGCGGCCTTGAGAGTTATCATCTTCGCCAACGAGGCGGGCGTTCACTGTGATACTGATTCTTTATCACTGAATGAAGCATGAAGGGTGAGGGGTAAGGCCGCCTTCATAGTTCGCGACCATGTATAGTTCCCGCATTTCTTCACGGTGGCGAGCAGTGAACGCAGCCTAAGGGCTGCACCGTCGCATGATTTTTCTGTCAGGTGCTTGTTTCAAGTGTCGACTTCGTAGGGTTTCTCCCGACGGACATAATTGTTGCTCGATCAAAGGGGTCCTGGGTGCAGATGAACAGAATGGAAAATACTGTGCGATTGCAAATGCAATTGCACAGTATTTTCCATGCATTCCATAATGCAATTAGCACCCTGCATCCATCGAGTTATAGGAGGATGAAGAGCTAACAAAGCTGGGAAAACTGTGAGGTAATGAAAAAAGTAGTTTCAACTAAAAACGTAGCGGATTATGCGAAATAAATGCAAACTAACTGGTGACCAAGGAGTGCCATAGAAATGAGGCTATGCATGATAGCTTCAAAAGCGGTCGATGGGCTTTACCGCGCTTTTGGATGCAGGCGTTTGAATCACAATCACGTGTGCCACCGTGAAGAATGCGGGAACTTTACATGGTTGCGAACTATGAAAGCGGCCTTACCCCTCACCCTTCATGCTTCATTCAGTGATAAAGAATCAGTATCACAGTGAACGCCCGCCTCGTTGGAGAGGATGATAACTCTCAAGGCCGCGTTATACACAGCCTGTGATAGGGAACGAAGTGTAAAATTCTAGGTGGTCCAACACCCCACCCAGCGTTCTTGGAGGCACCTTACAAACACTCATTTTTACGCACGAAATGGACGATCAGAGAGAGGAAGAAGATTACTATATGCAGACGTTCACGATTCCACCAAACCAACGTGGTCTTCGTGAGTAGAATTGAAACGCTCCATTCCTGGTAGAACTCTTTTTGCGAAGTCACCAATACGCCATACAACATCCCTCCTGCTCCCGCGAATGCTTGGGACGTTCTAGTCACCGACTTGGGGCACATTTACTATTCCTTGGTCCATCGCTTAAACCTTAACTACACCCACACTTCCGTGCAGAATTGTGAAAATCCATTGTAAATACAATAGCCACAACAAGTATACTGGGAACTTCCCTTGATTTCCAACCAGTGAATCAAGTCAGTATAAAGCTTTATTAAAACTGTTCCTTTCCATAGGTGGTGCCGTACTCATTGGCAATCGGAACGTGTCTGAATGCAGCCTCCTTGGGCGCAATCTTCTAGCGCTGTTGTTATGTTGTTCACGCCTCTTTTAAGCTGCAATTTCGCCCGTATTCCAGCCGTGGTCATTACTGTCGTCGCGGTACCAACGACCGCCAAACAGAACCATATTACTGCGATATTCAGTCCATTTGTCTACGTTCATCCATTCGTTGTATAACGATTCAACGGATGAGTACTGCGTTTCCTGATTGATACTATTTTTGCATATAGAGTTGAAGACACTGAACAAAACTCTAAACCTGTTTTCACGTACCCTTTTTCAGCGATCTTGCGACGCGTTGTCGTTGCTGACTCGTCGTCGCTAGAGCTTTCGTCCGAATCAGATACTGAAAAAAAATTTTCGCTTTTTTTCTAGAAAGTGCCTTCGGTGTAGATTCTTCTGGATCAATGCTGTACGAATGAGAATGATATTACACTTAATGTAGTGTAAAGACACCAACAGGCCTTGAAGGGACGTATGCCTCATCGCCCTGCATTATTCCCTCTTTATCTTCGTCTTCAGATGTGTCCAGTTCGCTGCACAGATTCCTCGTCTACGTCCGGTTCAGCCAATGATTCCGCGACTGTATCAAAGCTATAGAAATGACTCAGGGAGGAGCATTCGAAACTCAGTCACAGAAAGCATACCCTCTAAACTTGACAAGTCTCTTGGCTGCCGCACTTCATCGCTTAACAGGATTTTCTCCCTCTCTGCTAACGTCCTTAGACATCGATAGGCTCTCACTGCAGGTTTTGCGAATTCGTCCACATAATATTGGAGTTGCGTACGTTGTGAGTGCCCTAACAGCTACACCATTCCTAAGGGTCGGAATCGACGAGGAAAACGAGCGACATTCACCTAATAGTTTGGACACGTCCTTGTCAGCAGGTTCCATTCTACCTTCGCCTCGGTCTTGGTCAAGATACGACTGATACTGTGCTCGATGCATGCCTCGTCTATAACACATTACCAAAGATTAAACGGTATTCAACGGAGGGAGGGGGTGCACAACTGCTGCAACTCACTGCATTACACGTGATGCCTATCCTTCGCAGTTGATCAGCAGCAGGAATCGTTTGAGAAGGGGGTGGACACAGGCGTATGAGACAGGTCTGTCCCAAGAAAAAGGGGTCTTTTTCCTCACTCATGTCACCAAGCCCACGCTCTTCCGTGATGCTGAAATAATAACATTTTATGCATTTTCTTGCCCGTGTAGCTTGCACGTACAATGCGCGCAGTCTGTTATAGTGTCCCAGCCATCGGTGCGATTTCGTGTCCAGAACGAACAGACCGCTTCTACATGCGGTCCGCTCACCCGTCCTCAAGCGCTGCTTTGGATTGGGATAGCGGCCAACCTGAAGGTTGATGTCAAAGAAGGTCCGCGATAAGGCTGAATGTATCAGAAAACCTCTACCCAGTAGATTTCAGAGCCATCCGCGGTAGTCTCCGTGTACTTGATCAGGCCCAGCGATTCATCGGGTCTTTCGACCATACTCCCCACAATCATCTTGTAAACAACTTTGTTCCTCGTTGCATTACAGTGCATGATATACGCAATGAGTGCACTGAAATACAATTACTGTGTACGTAGGAACTAGAAACAACTTTGTAGCACACCTCATAACGAAATTGTATTCGACACGAAGTAGCGCTTCGGGGTCTCTTGCAAGAGCCCTTCATTACTTCTTCGACAGTTTTGTCGATTACAGAGTGATCGACAATCACTCGCATGACTCCATATTTCGGGTACTCCTGAAAAAGACGGTGTCCTGTGAATGTTTTGCACAGAATGTTGTGTGCAAATCAAGATGGACTTTCGGTTTTCTTGTGCTGACCAGTCCTTCGTACGTGTCGCGAGACCTCATCTCGCTCTTGAGCTGAGCCAGATAGTCCTGCGAGTTCTCGATCGCTCTTCCCACAAGTTCCATTCTTCGCTGACCGCCATCTAATCAATGCATACTTTGCAACATTTGAACCTTGGGAAATAATCCATACTGAGAACTAAACCATACTCGCATCGATATGCCTCTTCAGGAAACTATAGAATGCGACAAAGTTGATCCGCACACCGGATCCGTAACTCCCACTTGTTGAGTCATTTCCAAAAAATCGAGGAGCATTCGTTCAGAAAATATGGCGTCATCTATTGTTACGATCCTTCCACATCTGAACATTCATGGTGATTCCCTTCAGATCCAGTTACTGCAAATAGTAGCCGCTCACCGCTGACGTCCCCCATGGCAACTAGCATATAGCGCTCCACGTATTGCCCGTAATGCTCGCCTCCTTTCAACGGGTCCACCGAAGGGCGCTTTCTCTCGAAGTGCTGTCGTGTGGGCATTCAGGATTAAGCGACAAGTGTAAGCCTCTGGGTTGTCTAGTAGATGGAAACTTAATGGTAAGCTGAACAGTGACTTTGCTTAAGCTTCGTCATTGCAGGATTCGCCCACGTGCGCGCCGGATATATAAGATGCCGTGTGACTCATACGAGGTCTTCGCCGCCGCCACTCGCTCGACTGGACGAGGCCACCAGCCTGTGTATCGTCGCTGCCAGCATGTTTCTACTGTATTCTGACTTACCCCTCATTGGGGTTGCATCTAATAAAGATTAGTG